TAGTGAAAGCAGCGAAGCATCCATATTATCGTACCTCATCTTGCACATGGTCAGCAATAAGTAGTAATAAAGCCGCCGCACGGGTATTCTGCCGATGAGCGAGAGACAACCCAAAGGAACTGCAAGCAGAAGTGAACCACGTGAGAACGAAAGTTATACTACTAGTCTTACCGAGATGAACTTTTATTCATAGAGTTGGTCTCAGCAACAATGTGCTCAGCAAGATGTTTCGCGAACATAGAGCTATTCTAGCAAGACGAAGAGCGAGACAGATGCCATTCAGTCGCGTGCGCTGGAGAACTTCGAACGGCCTAGAACTGGGTCATGCGAAAGCAGGCTTTAACAGGATCCATAAAACTCTTACCTGTGTACATCATCAAAATTGTTAACACGCTCCTCATAAATCATGTCGTAGGCAGCATTAAGCACCTTATGCTCCTTTTTTGGTATTGGCCCAAAAACAGCAAGATCGAAAACCTGAAGTCTCCGAACAGCATCATTAAAATATTTGTCAAAATGAGAAGCATCCTTGCACCTTCAACCTACAATGCTGGCCCATGCTTCGCCTTGAGAGTTCGCCCTGCAACTATCCAAAAGGCACTGCGACAGAAGAAGAGCCACTGGTGTGTTTAGTTGGGCTAATTCCAAGAGTTCTGTGCATCTGCTCTGCAAAAAAAATAACTCGAAAAGGAACACAATGAAGAGATGGAAAAAAAACGAACCAGAAGAAGTTGCGTGACATCAGACTGAGCTACTGCGAAGTTTTTGAGACATAGGCTGCATAAACAAAATTGGTGCCTCTATTAACATTTCATACTCAATCACTCAACGGAGCTGGTTTACTACGTACCTCAATGTGCGGCGCAAAGCTGGCAAAAAGTGCTGAGATTTCCGCTCCTCATTCATTACGCTGAAAGCAGCTTCCAACAAGGCAAGCAGAGTTTCGGGACATGAGACCTTAAAGTGAACTGAACAGAATCCGTGAATCACTAATGACTGGATCGCTGATGACCTTGGGAGGGAGCCCTTAAGGGAACTTCTCGTGCATTCGGGATCACCGTAAACAAAGGCTAGACTTTGCCTAAGCTCAAATGGGATAAAGCGAAGGAGCTAAGCAAACCAGTTTCATGACAAGCGTTATCCTAGTTTTGCACAATAAGCCCTTTGAAAGCCCCTCCCGGGGTTGTTAATGCCATTGTTGACTTCAGTAAAAGAAGTGCAAAATTATCGATGGCAGTCTTGTGAGAATCATAATGTTATGAGGTCTGCCACACGATGAGACACTACTCAAATCGAGAAGCGCAAAAACTAATGAATGTCATTAACCAAGATGCGTAGCTGCGGTTTACAGTGGGCATTACACGCCTTGATCACACATTTGTAACGGTGCTTTGCCGATAAATGCCATACAGAATTTCTCATTCAAGTAATTTCAAGAGACCTACGAAGAGATGATAAGAAAACAGAAACAAACTTGTTCAATGACGACGTCGGCTATATCCAAATAACACTCAGCAACAGGGTACGCAGAAGCGCACTCCAGCCAGCTAACACATTCCTTCACCACGTCGTTAGCACTCTTCCGAAAAAGACTCGGTAGGCCGACTCTGAAAGATGATTTCATAGGATGTAGACTATCACGAGGCAAATTCAATTAAATCAATGCAAAAGTAACCATACCTAATACTAAGCCTAAGCCGATATTCGTGAAGCTTAGAAGCCAGCTTATTGACATCTTCACCATGGCAGGAATCGACTCTGGATTGAAAACATAAGAAATTGAAGCTGTCATGCTCGGCATGAATAACTCCAACAATGATTCAAGCGGTCCCAGTCCCCAAGTCCGGCTTCACCTACACTGTACGTCGCACAGGAGAGAGAACGTCATCACCGAGATACCGTTCGATCTTTTGATTTGTGTCATCCTTATGGTCATTTGTGAGGTCGTCATATATATCGTTCAACATTTTGACCAGAAGAGCCTCTCGCGAGAGTGGAATGCCCTTCTTAATAGAAACATATCACAATGCAACTAAAAAGTTAATATAGCCGAAAAGAAGAGCACCTCAGATATGAGAGTGAGAGCAAGATCCGCGATCGGCTTGAAGCAATACTTCAGCCGTCTCAGAAGTCTCACATATACAGAATGAATGATATAGCATTCTTTGTCCTGAAATAAAGTGAAAAACGATCCATCTAGGCGAAAAAAAGAAAAGAAAATGCGTAGTTTCATTTGGAAGAATGCAACCTTTGCACGTGAGGCATATGAATATATGATACGCCACGAAATGATACCAGTTTCATCAGAATAAGCAGCAAGCGATTGGATCATTGCAATCAGGATATTTCCTGTTAAACACAGTTCCTGCGCTAAAGCAATTCGTGATTCGTGAGCAATTCCTTCCTAGATCAAATAGCATGGCCCTCAGTCCCTAAGACTGTCCCACTTTCGTGGCTAAGTAAGAGCGCGTTCAGACTTCGCAATCGCGTGTTCGGATCGGATCGTGCGATCGCGAAGTCTGAACGCGTTCTAAAGAAGGTGACCCTCAGAAGCGGCAGTTCTGATGCCGCCCTAGGCGTCCCGCCCACCAAAACTCGAAGGCTATTTTCTGTTCATATAATTTATATAATTACGTTTATAAAGTTATATAAACGTAAACGAGAATGGGCCGGTCATGTGGCGCGAGACAACAGATGGACTTCCCGGCTAACTGATTGGATCCCTCTGGATCACAAACGACCGCTGGGAAGGCCTAAAATGAGATGGGCCGATCCGATGGTGAAAATGTTCGGCCAACAGTGGAGAAGACGTGCACAAGACCGGAACGAATGGCTCAAAGTCGACTTGCGTGGATGGCGGAACACACGAGGACAAGTCGGATACAGGTGATACAGGTGATTTTCTGTTCCGTGTTCAGTTTTTACACTGTGTTTTCGGTTTTTTTTTCACTGTTAGATGGAATTGCCTGTGGATGACGCGAAGGGGTATATGGTAAGAGAATCGTAATTCGCCGCGCCAGTTGGCGTCGCGTGCGACGTCGCGCCCGCTAATACGACGATTTTAGGTATTATTGGTCGAGAAGTAGACAATATGTG